GCATAGCAGCTAAATTGGTGTCTTTGGGGTTATGTTGTTGTGTTAAGTGATCTTAGAGGACAATAATGTTTGATAGTTTGTTAACCATACGGGCACTAAAATAAGGAATCCCATTTTTTAGAGCTTAGGACTTCCTTTTCATCTTGGAGGAATATTGTGGAACAAGATAACTTGCACGCACGACTAATGACGTAATGTATAGTACAGGTGGCTTTCTCAGACATCTTCGACGTAATGTAGAATACTGAATCTTTAATGTACTGATGGACATCTCGGCCATCTTTGACTTAATGTATAGTACTGATGGACATCTCGGCCATCTTTGACTTAATGTATAGTACTGATGGACATCTCGGCCATCTTTGACTTAATGTATAGTACTGATGGACATCTCGGCCATCTTTGACTTAATGTATAGTACTGATGGACATCTCGGCCATCTTTGACTTAATGTATAGTACTGATGGACATCTCGGCCATCTTTGACTTAATGTATAGTACTGATGGACATCTCGGCCATCTTTGACTTAATGTATAGTACTGATGGACATCTCGGCCATCTTTGACTTAATGTATAGTACTGATGGATATCTCGGCCATCTTTGACTTAATGTATAGTACTGATGGACATCTCGGCCATCTTTGACTTAATGTGTAGTACTGATTTTATTTGAAAAAAAAAAAGTCTCTCGTCCCTGCCTGCTTCACTTTGTGCATTGAGCTAAGAGAACAAGTTTCAACAAAGAGTCTTTTAAAATGATTTAAACTAATGATCTGAATCAGCTTGCCACATGTTAAGTCAGAACCATGACGACTTTTCCACCTAACATTTTCATTCAGAACCACGAGTCTTGGACCTGCAACAGATTGACTGCGCAGAAAGATTCAGTTTTGATTTTCAGTAGTTGATAAATGTTGAGTAGATGACTCAATTCTGCAAAGTGCCTGGTTCAGCTGCAGAAAAAGAATGTGTGGCATGAATGAAATGTACGCCGTCCCGCCAAAATCCTGCCATTCTCAATGACAAGTTTATAGAGTTGTACTCAACCGGGAGAAATCGTTTGACAGGTTGGACATGAATAAGTTCTGTCAGTTGCTGGAAAATTGCGGATTGTAAGTAAAGCTCTTCGACAATGGCAGGGCGCTCGATACCAGCAGTATAATTTCTCTGCATTTATTTGATGTTTGCTCCTTGTACACATCAATCCCACATGCTGAAGGCCTTAGGGCCTTGAGATTTTTCCCTAGAAAATATCCTCTATCCCTACTGACACTATTATCAGATTGGCCGAGCTGGTACTTAGTGTCAACTCCTTTGAATTTAATGGCCATCTCTTTGACCAAATCAGTGTTGTAGCCATGGGCACCAAAATGGGCCCTAGCTATGCTTGCCTATTCATGGGTCATTTTGAATATATGTTAGAAAGGGCATATACTGGCCGTATTCCTGATTTTTATAGGAGATACTTAGATGACGGCATTGGTATCACCAGCATGGAAACTAATGATTTTCAAAAATGTATAGATTTTTTAAACTCATTTCATCCATCCATAAAATTTATTTCTCAAATCTCTGGACATTCTGTCAATTTTCTCTATATCACCGTTACAGATAAAAAGAAAACGAATTGGTTACATCTGCCTACTACAAACCAACTGACAGCCATACTTACCTATTGTACTCATCCTCTCACCCCAAATCATGCAAAGACTCCATACCTTTCTCACAACTTCTTAGACTACGGCGTCTCTGCCAACTTGATGAGGAATTTTTGGAAAGATCTGATGAAATGATGGATTTCTTCCGCTCCAGAACCTATCCTGAAACTACTCTGGTCTCAGCACTAGATCGCATCAGGACTATCATACAAAAAGATGATTTCAGAACTCATTAAATCAACGATGAAGATCGTACCAAACTCATACTAATCTACCACCCTCAAAATTTAACTGCCAAAAATACTCCTAAAAACCATAGCATACTTCCTGCTGACCCTGATACTAACAGGGTAATCTCATCCCCTCCACCGATTGTCTGTAGACGGGACAAAAATCTAGGTGACCTTCTGGTTCACTGTCCCCCCTCAATCTGACTCGTCTTACTTCAGTACTAAAAATGCTTAAGGAGCCGCTGCAGGACGTGTCCCTTTACACTCCAAACTGAAAGCATTGGCCTCCCTAAAGTTACCTTTACCATTCAAGAGGGTTTCACCTGCGTCAGCCGGAATGAAATATCTGCGAATGTGTGCCTTCAATGCCAATCTAGTTACATAGGTGAAACTGGGAGGAGATTGGCTGACAGGGTCACTGGACATCTCCGGGATATTGAACAAGGTTAACTTTCCCCAGTCTCTTCGCATTTCAACAGAGATGAACATAAATTAATGCTTATTTGATGTAATCATTACGTCAGTGATTTCCTGCACTAACACACCAGAGAGGGTTAAAATGGAAAATACATTTATTCAGCTGTTGGGTACCACATCTCCATATGGTATTAATCAAATACTATCCTACTAATGTTTCTCTGTTTCCCTGTAGTTCTACTATTTTCTTATTCTTTTGTTTGATGTATCCCTAGATATTTTGGTGCATTATTATTGTGGAACTTATTTTTCATAGCTTCAATATTTATATTCTCTCACTTCCTGTAATCTTACTTCCGGCAACAACAATGGATATTTCTTGAGTTGTTTACTGTGCTCTGTTTCTTGTAATATATTCATTTGTCCCGTGCGCTAAAGAAGGCTCTATGCCGAAACGTTCCAATCTTATTGTCCTGTCAATTGATTCAAGCTTCAACATAACTCGTTCTGCTATTTCCTCTAATTTCTCTGCCTTGGTGAAATTGACAACCCAAGTGGCTAGACATTGCTGTGTTCTACCGTCTTTGCTGTTGATCATTCGGACGGACAAAATGCTGAACAAGCCCAAAATGTCGCAATCAACGACTGGATATTTGTAGATGACAACTGCATCCTACATGGCAACAGCTGCATCCTAAATGGCAACAGCTGCATCCTACATGGCAACAGCTGCATCCTAAATGGCAACAGCTGCATCCTACATGGCAACAGCTGCATCCTACATGGCAACAGCTGCAGAGTCATGTTGATAAACTGAAGAGTGCCTGCGAGCATTATAAGATGAAAATCATCCAAGATAAGACTCGTGTCATGTCAGAAGGCCGTACCCCGGAAAAACTGAGAAAAAGTAAGCCATGAGCTTCTTCGAAAACTTTTGGACTTTAATGATCCGGGAAGCATTTTCGCTGAGGACGGAATTATGAATTAAGAGTCAATGACAGTAGGGACAAAATTGCAGTCTCCATTCAAAGCGCCCCTATTAAGCAATCCAAAATACATTAGGAAACCAACACCACTTTATATTCCACAGTTCCTATGCCCTACATTATTTACCAGTGACAGACCTGGGCTCTGTAAAAAAAACAACACGTCATTTGCGAGAATAGATGATTAAATCTGATACAACGAGAAAAGACAATTAAAAGAGCCAGGAAACAAACTGAATGTTTGGTGCCATTACAGTAAGCTAACATTGGATTGGACAACCGATTAAAATGCAAGAGGAAGACCTCACCGTCAATAACTCGACTTTGTTAAGGATATCCTTATATATTATCAATCTTCAACAGGGCCCACACGTGTTAGGAGATCACCACCCGTTGGCAGATCACCACCCGTTGGCAGATCACCACCTGTTGGCAGATCACCACTTGACAAACATATTACATCCTTCAAAGATGAAGTCTGCTGTTCATAGTCATGTAATTGGAGAACTCATAAAACAAAATACTTAATGATTCTATCGAGTTGCTACCCGTCTTCACTGAGTACATTTTATAAACCACTTCTTACAAGTAAGGAAAAGAAGATGGAGGTCTACAAAAAGTAACAAGATCTTAGGTCTTAGAGCTTTTTAAAATTAATGCACAAATGTATTTACTTCTAAGCAATGATTTTTTTTTTTATGCTGTTCAACTTTCCAGCTAAAACACTCTTCGGCTGTCTAACTATTGCCCATGAAAGCTAAAACACTCTTCTGCTGTCTAACTATTGCCCATGAAAGCTAAAACACTCTTCGGCTGTCTAACTATTGCCCATGAAAGCTAAAACACTCTTCGGCTGTCTAACTATTGCCCATGAAAGCTAAAACACTCTTCGGCTGTCTAACTATTGCCCATGAAAGCTAAAACACTCTTCGGCTGTCTAACTATTGCCCATGAAAGCTAAAACACTCTTCGGCTGTCTAACTATTGCCCATGTAAGCTAAAACACTCTTCGGCTGTCTACATTGCCCATGAAAGCTAAAACATTCAACAGAAGTCAAGGACAACGCTGGACCATGCATGTGTTGCACAACAGAGTAGACGATGTCCCCATTTTTCTAAATAGTAAATGAATGGACATATACTAGCTATAATTTAGACGACCTTTGACCTCTCAGACTGACTCAAAGGGCGTGAACTGCTAACCTATAGCATCTGTCTCAAATCTCACCTGCCAAACAGTGGATCTCTACTCCCCTTTACCACCACATGGCAGTCATTTTTTTGTGTTAACAAACCAGATACAATTTTTATATTCTGCTAAACCGAAACGTCACCAGCCTGGTGTGGATGGTGATGGAAAACGTAACCAGCCTGGTGTGGATGGTGATGGAAAACGTCACCAGCCTGTTGTGGATGGTGATGGAAAACGTCACCAGCCTGTTGTGGATGGTGATGGAAAACGTCACCAGCCTGTTGTGGATGGTGATGGAAAACGTCACCAGCCTGTTGTGGATGGTGATGGAAAACGTCACCAGCCTGTTGTGGATGGTGATGGAAAACGTCACCAGCCTGGTGTGGATGGTGATGGAAAACGTCACCAGCCTGTTGTGGATGGTGATGGAAAACGTCACCAGCCTGTTGTGGATGGTGATGGAAAACGTCACCAGCCTGGTGTGGATGGTGATGGAAAACGTCACCAGCCTGTTGTGGATGGTGATGGAAAACGTCACCAGCCTGTTGTGGATGGTGATGGAAAACGTCACCAGCCTGGTGATGACTTTAAACATATGTGTTAATTATTTTGTGTTTACACAGGTTCCGCTAGACGAACGCCGAAGAGATGAGAAAGATTGTCCTACTTCTTCTAATATTTTTGAACCTGGTGGTCAGAGGTCAATGCTATTGTACAATGGATAACTGGGTTCTCAGCTTTGACCAGGAAGGTTCTTCTAAATGTTCCAATAGTCAAACATATATACGAGGTTTCGAAAGGAGTGAAAATACAGCAGACGATGGAATAGGTCTTCTCGAATACGCACAATGCTGCTCTGCTCCAGACAGGTATGAGGCCTATGAACCAAAGACCCAGACGGTGGATTGGATATTGATCTTGGATAACAACAACCAATGGGCCAAATGTCCTGATGGATACTTTCTGCAAGGTCTGTATAGAAGCGGCTCGTGGCCTGGCTACCTTTATAACATAGAACAAGGTCTCTGCGCGAAACCGTTCCGTCATCCTGATAACTATGGTTCTTGTTACGACCAGGACATAGTGTATTGTTTTGATGATGAAGGGCTTTGTAACTGCCAGGACGGTTATTATGTAACTGGAATCTACAGAGGAGGTTGCAACAAGCTTTTGTGCATCGAAACATTGAAGTGTTGTAGTATGGCTTAACAGGAGTTCTCAAATAGCTCAAGTGGTATTCATGATGCATTAAACTTTTTCTCAAAACATTCGATTTAAATGTTGATAAAATTCTACTTTTGATTAAAAGAAAAAGAAAATAAATTATTTGAAAAAAATGTCTTCTTGTTTAAAATGGTTTTGTTTATTTAGTCTCTTGTGTGCGTGTGTGTGTGTGTGCGTGTGTGTGTGTGTGCGTGTGTGTGTGTGTGCGTGTGTGTGTATGTGTGCCTAAGTTTATATTTCATTTCTGTAGTATTCATATTATTACAAACTAATTACAAAACATATTTTTTTAAACTCTTCTAATAGGGTCCCTAAACATCCAACCAGACATGTCCCCCAACTTTATTACCATTGGGTGTTTATGTGATCTACAAAGATATCAACTGCCGAATAGAGCTGCGCTTCCTTTCGAAAAACAAATTGGTTGTTGTGGTCCGTTAATTGTTGGATTACCAAAAAATGAGTATATTTGATGGCACGTTGTCTCCATTCAATTGAGTCAGTGATGTACCATAAATAGGAAACAGCCAACTACGGAGGGAAAAGATTTGTAGGTATGGAAAAGGAAAGGGGGGGGGGCAATCGTTTATTGAAAGTCGATAGTCCTGTTAACTATTTGGAAGTTACGGAACACAAATGTTGCGTTTGATCAATCTACCGTTGACGGTGAACTCTCATTGCAATCAGTTTCTACTATCCTATAATTAAGATGGATCGGCTGGGGTCAAAGGTCGTTCATTCAACCTTAGGTTGGCCAAAGTCGTATGTTCCTTGTTATTTGCAGCATCTCAGTCAAGAGCGTTCAAGTTAAGTTTTGATTGGTGCACAAAATGGTCGGTTTTTCCCGTGTTTGGTGCGTAAAAAAGATTTTGTTCATTGCAAGAAAACCTTGTGTGTTGAGTGTTCATGGATCCTGACCTCTGATCGGTGGGAAACCTATCATTGCTGAGTAAGTGTTTCCTAAACCCGAGTTGGGTGACCATTTTTTCCCCAAATCCCCAGTCGATCAGTTGATCAGTTGATCATCTTTTGATCAAACTTTATGCTGAACTTCAACATTCCTCATTAACAGATGCTAATTGTTCGGATCAATTATTTTACTTTTTATTCAAGTCACAGCTAATCGCTGCTTGGAAATTTTTCCCACAAAATTGCGATATCTGAATTTTGAGTTGATGAATCCTATGGTTGATAATGCTGATTCACGGAGCCAAGTTGACAATGCTGATTCACGGTGCCAAGTTGATAATGTTGATTCACGTAGCCAAGTTGACAATACTGATTCACGGAGCCAAGTTGATAATGCTGATTCACGGAGCCAAGTTCATAATGCTGATTCACGGAGCCAAGTTGACAATGCTAATTCACGGAGCCAAGTTGACAATGCTGATTCACAGAGCCAAGTTGACAATGCTGATTCACGGAGCCAAGTTGACAATGCTGATTCACGGAGCCAAGTTGATAAAAAAATTGAAATTAATTTTGAAATACCCATTTTCAACATTTTCAAATTTCCTGGGAAAAAAAGTTAATATTTGTTTAACTTCCCTTAATTCTATCTCCATAAGCGATACGCTGTCAGCCATAAGAAGTATCTCTGTCAGCCATAAGAACTACTTCTCTCCGCCATAAACAGTATCTCTGTCAACCATACGTAGTGTCTCTGTCAGCCGTAGCCAGTATATCTGTCCTCCATAAGTAGTACCTCTCTGAGTCATAAGCAGTACCTCTGGCAACCATAAGCAGTATGTCTGTCTGCCATAAGCAGTATCTCTGTCAGCCATAAGCAGTATCTTTGTCATCAAAAGCATTATCTCTGTCAGCCATAAGCATTATCTCTGTCAGCCATAAGCAGTATCTCTGTCAGCCATAAGCAGTATCTCTGTCAGCCATAAGCAGTATCTCTGTCAGCCATAAGCAGTATCTCTGTCAGCCATAAGCAGTATCTCAAGAAAGTCATGCTCACTCGACCCTCTTCCAGCAGGGCTGTTGTACGAACATTTGGATGAAATGGTCCCTATCATAACTAGCACCATAAATCAGTCTTTGAAAACTGGTATTGTTCCATCCTCTATTAAAGAGGCGGTTGTAACTCCACTGCTAAAGAAGGCAAATCTCGATCCAAATGTGTAGAAGAATTAGCGCCCTCTCTCAAATGTATCCTTTGTATCCAAAATGTTAGAGAAATCCGTTCTCCACCAGCTCCTGAACCACCTCACTCGGTGCGACTTGTTTGAGCCTTTCCAGTTAGCATACAGGGCGCATCACTCTACTGAGACAGCCCTGTTGCGCGTCGTAAACGACCTTCTGTCGTCTTGTGGCGAGGGCCAGGTATCCATTTGGTCGTTACTTGATCTATCGGCAACATTCGATACGCTTGACCACGGCATACTTCTCCAACGTCTGGAAGAAACGTTCGGTCTCACCGTTACCGTCCTGAGATTGTTCCGATAGTACCTGTTAAATTGGGTATAATCTGTTATCGAAAATGACTTGACCTCGAAGCAAGCTATTATCGAATTCGGAGTACCTCAGGGCTCGGTCCTAGGCCCGGTGCTTTTCGCTATGTACATTCAGCCCCTGGGTGCAGTGATCAAGTTGTTTGACATGCTATATCACATGTTCGTGGATGATACCCAACTTCAGCAGTCCGTGATCCCCTCTCAGTTCCCTCAGCTTCTTAGTATGACACAGAAGACAGCGGAGTCAGTTAAGCACTGGATGACCATAAGCAAGCTCAAACTGAACGATGAAAAGACCGAGCTGATTCCCATTACTACCGCTCAAAAGCTAACATCTGTAAATAACCTATTATCCCTTTTCTCTCTCTCAGGTACACAGATTGAGTTTGCTCAAACAGTGCGAAACCTGGGTGTCTACTTAGACAGAATACTAACTATGGAAAATCACATTAACATTCTTTGCAAGGCGAGATTCAGAGTTGTGCAGAATTAGTCATATCAGACCTTTCTTAGCGTTTGATGCATGAAAGAGACTGATGTCTGCATTCGTGCTATCACGCATGGACTACTTAATGCTCTCATGGTGGGTCTTACGGCTACGCTCCTCGATATTATAAAAAAAATCACAGAATAATGCGTCTCACATTGTTCTGCGCAAACGCAAATTCGACCATGCAAAAACACTTCTGAGAGAGCTGCATTGGCTGAAGGTCCTTGCTCGCAGAGTACAAAATTACAACTCTTTGCTACTGCTGCTTGCATGACCTGACACCGTCCTATCTCAAAGCGTTCATGACGCCTTACGTTCCCACTAGATCACTCCGTTCATTTCATAGTGACAACCCTTAGATACCGCGAGTCCGCTTTTGCTGGTCCAGTAATCTGGAACGGCCTCCCCGTCGCTCTCAGAAACAGCCAGACACTACAGTCTTTCAAAACTGAGTTGAAAACACATCTTTTTCGCACTCACCTGCTGGGGTGATGTGGTCTACCTCCTTGTTTCCAGCTTGCTCATATTCCTTGGTGTATGTTGGCTTGTATTTTCTATTGGCTTGTATGTAGATTTTGTATTGTTGCGTTTTGTATTTTAATGTGGAAAAATATAAATTATCATATATATGGTTTACTTTGCACCGTGCTTCGAGCCTTAATTAGTGATGAAGCGTGTTTTTCGAAATGAATTGTATTATTATTATCTTTGACAGCTTTAAATATGGCCCACCCCGGCCCACCCCAGGACTAGACGAACTTAGAGACACTTATCATTTGTATTTCAATGTGGTATAATATACATTTTTTTCATTTCTCTTTTAATATGGTTAACTTTGTACCGGCGTTTCGAGCCTCTGGGGACGAAACGTGATTTTCAAATAAACTTTATTTTTATTATTATTATCATTTAAAGAGTTCATTATCATTTAACCAATTCGAAAGGAAGGCACAGGACCATGATGAGTGGAAAATTCTTGTAGACGGTCTATGCCCCAGACGGGGTAAAGAGGCTCAAGTAAGTAAGTACGTCATAACAACGTTTTTTTAAAAATATAAATCATTTATAAAATGTCATAAAGAGCAAAGAAGGGAAAGGCTGAAAATTTGGCAAAACATTGATTCTAGTTCTAGTTCTGGTTCTGGTAGTGTTCGTTGCTGCATCCATATACTGGCATCTGTGCAGCGGTTGGGGAACGCACTTTATAAGAATCCCTATCAGTGCTTCCCCACCCCCACCCCAAGGCTCGCAATCACATATTTTTCACGCCCCTGAACTTTATTAATATTATAATGACCTCCCCCCTTTGACACCGCAGATTTGTTTCAGCTTCTATTTAAGAAAAACGAAGGAAAATATGACGCACCAAACGCACTTGCGATATTTTTCTTTCAAATTACATTTAGCGCAATAATTGGGAATTCCACTTGGTGAAATCAGTGTCGTCATATTTCCTTCGTCTTTCCTTTGAGAACCTCGAACAACGAATTTGGCGGCATTGGAATTGGGGGCTGAAAATTTGGAAGAATGTGTTGTCATCTTCAGCTCGATAGGTCGACTGGAAGTGGGTCAATTAGCCGTCGGAAAATTTTGCCAGCCACGAAAAAAAGTTAATATAATGAATAATAAGATACATTTAGCAGTACAACATAAGATACATTTAGCAGTACAACATAAGATACATTTAGCAGTACAACATAAGATACATTTAGCAGTACAACATAAGATACATTTAGCAGTACAACATAAGATACACTTAGCAGTACAACATAAGATACACTTAGCAGTACAACATAAGATACATTTAGCAGTACAACATAAGATACATTTAGCAGTACAACAGAAGATACTAATTTGAACAAACGTTGTTTGGGAGTGGGGGGGGGGGTGGGGGGGTTACGTGACGGGAGATTGGGAGTTCACCTGCTATGACGTATGCGGTATCGGTCGGTAACCTAAATAGATAATTAACTTGGTTTTTCTTCTTGGTTAGTTAGCTGAATATAGAAAAGTGTTCAGAAATCAATTGTAACGACCGAGTCATTGGCTACTTCTTCTACAAATTACAAAATAAATTAATAAAAAAGTTAGACGAAAAGAGGCAACGGGGGAGGTAAGTTAAGAACAGTAAACATTATAACTACACTTTTTTTTGTGTGTATTTTATTCCACGTAGTTATTGCCGCAAACCAACTTTTGAGGACAGATAGATCTATAATCTATAACATACTTTGATAATTATTGTGAGCAGACCTTTATTTTATTTTATTTAATTTATTTGAGGAATTTAAATATTCAATTAATCCATTATGCTTTTTAACAAAAGTGTCAATAAAACGGGTGAATTAAATTGGTTTAATCTGTTTTATTTTGGATGTATTTAGAAATACATTTCAAATGATGTTACTTATAACTGACAGCTTGGATGTGTTGGATGTCTTAGATATCTTGATGTCTTGGATGTCTTGATGTCTTGATTGATGTGATGTTATGTGTCTCGTCCGTCTGGTTGCCCCTTATGACTGCCTTCCCTGATTGGCTGTTTCTCTTGACTGCCTTGCTTGAGTGGGTGCCCTCTTGCCTGTCTTTCTTGGCTGGGTGCTCTTCAAGACAAACTTACTTAACTGGCTCTTCGTCTTGACTGTCTTGCGTGACTGGGTGCCCTCATGACTGCCGTCCTTGACTGAGAGCCCTCATGACTGCGTTGCTTGACTGGGTGCCCTCATGACTGCTTTGCGTGACTGAGTGCCCTCATGACTGCCGTCCTTGACTGAGAGCCCTCATGACTGCCTTCCTTGACTGATAGCCATCATGACTGCCTTGCGTGACTGAGTGCCCTCATGACTGCTTTGCTTGACTGGGTGCGTTGGACTATGATAACACTTTCAACATTCAAAGATATGTTAAAAGCCTTCTACGACTAGCCTCGTCACAGTGAGGATCATACGTCTTCGAACTGCAACTGATATACGACGCGCAAACATGATGGATATTTAAATATTGAGCTATAGATAACCTAATACTTAACAAATTAAAAGTAGGTTTTGGACAAGGAAGGGGACGCATTGACCGTCTCAGATAAAGAAAGGGTGGCATGGGCAATTTCAGAAAAGGAAAAGATGGAATGTGCGGTTTCTCTGGCCTCCAGCAAATCTCGAAGGTTTCATACAGTTTTCATCGTGCAGGCAAAAAAAAAAAGATTTTTGAGATAATGGATATGGATATAGTCTTGGGGGGGGGGGGGGGGGGGGGGTGGTTACTGAAAAAGTGCTTAGTGAAAGGAAAGTTGCTCGATAATATCATGGAGCTCTATACCAGCTGTCTATACAACCAATGATATATAGGGAGACCAAATGTAGATTATGTAACACTTCTCTCATACCAAAACGTATTTGCCAGTGCCAGACATGGCACACACGTTCCCTCCCCTTTTAGCTAATCTTTGACTCACACTTGGGTTACTCTCATAAAATAAGTAATATTAGCTTATCAGGGATTCTCACCTCTTCAATGACAACTCTTCATTCAAAGCAAGGTAACGCTAAACATAGTATTTCAGAAATCATTTTAAAAGGGCAAAATGCAATATTTTGTTATTTCCAATGATATCTTTTTACTTCCTTGTTGTATAGAGCAGATTATCTGTTGATGTCTTTGCTTTCGGACTTGCGTGTTCAATGTGTTGTGTTTACACAGGTTACGATAGAAGAACATCGCAGACATGAGAAAGATTCCTCTATATCTTCCAACAATTTTGATGAGCCTTGTGGTCAGTGGACAAAGTGATTGCTCATTTGATGACTGGTCTGTCAGCTTTGACTCGGCAGGTCTTTCTAAATGCTCCAATGATAATATGTATGTAACAGGTTTCGATCGGAGTGGAAATACAGTCGACGATGGAATCTATCATCTTGAAGGCGCCCAATGTTGTTCTGCTCAACCAAGCTATGAATCCTCTCTACCAGAAACGGTCGTGGTTGATTGGAGGTTCGTCCTTACTGACAACGACCGGTGGGCCACATGCCCCGATGGATACTTTCTGCAAGGTTTGTTCAGAAGCGACTCGTGGCCTGGCTACCTTCAAAACATAGAACAAGGACTGTGCGCTAAACCAGTAGGTCATCCTGATAACTACGGCTCTTGTTACGATGAGGACATCACGTTATGTTTTGACGATGATGGACTTTGTGGCTGTTTAGAAGATTATTACATCACTGGAATCTACAGAGGAAGTTGCAACAAGCTTATGTGTATCGAAACATTGAAGTGTTGCACTATGGCTGAATAGAGGGGTTCTCAACTAGTTCAAGTGGTCTCCACGATGCACTGAAATGTGATGTTACAACAGTTGATTTAAACATTTCTTTAATTCTATTTCTGACAAAAGAAAAATAAATTAATTAATGTTGTATAATGTGTTTTTTTAATTTTTAATATTTAAATTTTTAATTGTATTACTTATCAATTTATTTTGCTTTATATTAATTTTCTAATGTATTTAAATTATTGCGAAGCAATTACAAAACATAAACATATTTCTCCTCAGACATCAGTCCCAACTTAATTAGTAAAGGATTTACATGTACTCTCCAAATATAGCGACTAGCATATAGACCCGTGCTTCAAATTGAAGCTATTTTAGCATTTAGCGCGTTAAGGAAACAATACGTCACAAATAATTTCACAAAAACAAGCAGTATACAAAGAACAAACTATCCCCAAGCTGGTGATACTAGCAAGGTTACGGCCAATTATACTATACAAATAATTATGTAAAAATGTAAAAATACGAATTTTAAATTTCCAGAAATAAAAGCTTTATCAAGTTACAGCACAGCCAGTGAAAAGGTACAATCCTCGAATGATACAATGGTTTAATTGTACTGTTCTAAAAATAGCTTTCAACTGCTGCTTGAAATCGTATGTGATCTGAACTTTTTTTATAGTGAAAACCGTTTAAACCGCATTTGTCAACTGCGAAAACCATTTGAAAACCTAAAACCGATAAACTGCCATCAAAGACCAAAATAGCTATTAACATTTCTAGACATTAAACATTTTATACTAGAAGTATGACCCGGTGTAATCCGGATAATTATGGAATACCATCTACATACTACATGCTGGTGCGACGTTTGGCTTGTTTTTGATTGCTTCTTGCTTCTTTTTAAATTACCGACCATTTTCACGTCTTAAAACGTCTAGTTATACAATGGTATATAAGACTCTTCTTTATTTTTAAAGAAGTTTATACAAAATATAAATGTATGTTTTTATTTCGTAAAATCGTTGAGTTTTGAAAAAATTAAATGGATATAATCGTATAATCTTTATAATCTCCAAAATGTACGCCATAAACAGCAAGAAAAGCCAATGTGATCTTCAAAGAGATCAAAGTTCAAGTCAGTATTTTACAAATATTTGATTGATTAATTTTTAGCCAATGAGTTAATTTATTTCTTCAGAATATGTCAAGCAACATAAATGTCACTAGATGCGTCGCATATTTTCTTGTTACATATAACGTACAGGGGAGTGCAGGGTAAGCGACTAATTTAAAAATGAGTTTCATTTTGTCACTGTGACCTACATCAATCAATCGCGTTATGTCACCTTGACCTACAGCAATCAATGACTTACCTTTTTCGGTTAATTAACTAAATTGCACACGTAATTTGGGGAAAAAACATTTTTCTAATGAGCGCATGCCTGTTGCGCATGCTTGTTGGCTATTGAACTGCACATACAACAAGTTGATTGACCAGAGTGGTTTCACGTCGTCGTCTGTAGGGGTGAGTTAGTCAATCACACGTATATTAACCAAACAGATATTTTTTTTTAAAAAATCGTTTATAATTTATTTACGTATTTACTTCTTGAAAATATTGAAGCAAGACGAATTCTGGTCAAATAACATAGATTGGTAATTATTTTTAAAATATCTCTTTGATAATTATGATATCTTTGTAGATGAAAGCCTGCTCTTAAACAATGATATCTTTGTAAGATGAAAGCCTGCTCTTAAACAATGATATCTTTGTAAGATGAAATCCTACTCTCAAACAGTGATATGTTTGTAAGATTGAAGCCTGCTATTAAAAATGATAGGTTTTTAAGATAAAAGCCTGCTTTTATACAGTGATATGTTTGTAAGATAAAAGCCTACTTTTAAACAGGGATATGTTTGTAAGATAAAAGCCTGCCTTTAAACAGTGATATGTTTGTAAGATGGAAGCCTTCTATTAAACAATGATATGTTTGTAGGATGGAAGCCTGCCATTAAACAGTGATATGTTTGTAAGATAAAAACCTGCAATTAAACAGCTATATGTTTGTAAGATGGACGCCTGCTCTTAAACAATAATATGTTTGTAAGATAAAAGCCTGCTTTTAAACAATGATATGTTTGTAAGATGGACGCCTGCTATTAACCAGTGATATGTTTGTAAGATGTACGCCTGCTATTAAATATTGATATGTTTGTAAGATGGAAGCTTGCCATTAAACAGTGATATGTTTGTAAGATGAAAGCCTCCTATTAAACAATGATATGTTAGTTAGATAAATGCCAGCTTTTAAACAGTCATATGTTTGTAAGATGGATGCCTGCTGTTAAACAATGATATGTTAGTAAGATAAAAGCCTGCTTTTAAACAGTGATATGTTTGTAAGATGGAAGTCTGCCCTTCAACAGTGATATGTTTGTAAGATGGAGGCCTGCTTTTAAACAGTAATATGTTTGTAAGATGGAAGTCTGCTTTTAAACACTGATATATTTGTAAGATGGAAGTCTGCTTTTAAACACTGATATGTTTTTAAGATGGAAGTCTGCTTTTAAACAGTGATATGTTTGTAAGATGAAGTCTGCTTTTAAACACTGAGAAGTTTGTAAGATTGAAGTCTGCTGTTAAACACTGATATGTTTGTAAGATGGAAGTCTGCTTTTAAACACTGATATGTTTGTAAGATGGAAGTCTGCTTTTAAACAGTGATATGTTTTTAAGATGGAAGTCTGCCATTCAACAGTGATATTTTTGTAAGATGGAGGCCTGCTTTTAAACAGTAATATGTTTGTAAGATGGAAGTCTGCTTTTAAACACTGATATGTTTGTAAGATGGAAGTCTGCTTTTAAACACTGATATGTTTTTAAGATGGAAGTCTGGTTTTAAACATTGATATGTTTGTAAGATGGAAGTCTGCTTTTAAACAGTGATATGTTTGTAAGATGGAAGTCTGCTTTTAAACACTGATATGTTTTTAAGATGGAAGTCTGCTTTTAAACACTGATATGTTTGTAAGATGGAAGTCTGCTTTTAAACACTGATATGTTTGTAAGATGGAAGTCTGCTTTTAAACACTGAAATGTTTGTAAGATGGAAGTCTGCTTTTAAACACTGATATGTTTGTAAGATGGAAGTCTGCTTTTAAACAGTGATATGTTTGTAAGATGGAAGTCTGCTTTTAAACACTGATATGTTTTTAAGATGGAAGTCTGCTTTTAAACAGTGATATGTTTGTAAGATGGAAGCCTGCTATTTATCAGTTCGATCCATTCCATTTCTCTTTGAGGACGCTACGGAAGTCCGTAGCATTCGGAAAACGAGACTCATGAACATCGGTTGGCTGCTGATATGACATAAGAAAACTCACTGTCTTGCTATAGCATCTACCATAAATAATTAACCTCAAAAGAAACTCACTGTCTTGCTATTGCAACTACCATAAAGAATTAACCTCAAAAGAAACTCCCTGTCTTGCTATTGCAACTACCATAAATAATTAACCTCAAAAGAAACTCACTGCCTTGCTATTGCAACTACCATAAAGAATTAACCTCAAAAGAAACTCACTGTCTTGTTAAAGCATCTACCATAAGGTGTGACTGAAGGTGACAAGTTCGTAGGTGGTTGAAGGTGACAAGTTCATATGTGACTGAAGGTGACAAGTTCATATGTGACTGAAGGTGACAAGTTCATATATCACTGAAGGTGACACGTTCATATGTGACTGAAGGTGACAAGTTCATATGTTACTGAAGGTGACAAGTTCATATTTGACTGAAGGTGACATGTTCGTATGTGACTGAAGGTGACAAGTTCATATGTTGGGTAGGTTTTAAATACTTGTTTGTGTATTATGTATTTTTTCCACAGATTGCGCTAGAAGCAAACACCAGCCATGGGCAGATTTCTCCAAGTTCTGCTGACTATTTTACATGTGGTGGTCAGTGGACAATCTTTTTGTTCAAAGGTCAACTGGGGTGACAGATTCAACTCGGAGGAATTGTCCAAATGTGACAGTGATTTTAAGTATGTTAAAGGTTTTGAGCTAAGTGAAGGGAGAACTGATGAAGGAATTTGTCTACTGGAGAATGTCCTATGTCGTTATGCTGACTCACCTTGGACCAGGTATTTACCACAGACCATACCAGTGGATTGGACATTGGACCTAGATCTGAACAACGATTGGGTCACGTGTCCACGTGGATATTTTCTTCAAGGTTTGCACAGAAGTATCCAGTGGGACGTAGAGCAGGCCAAATGTGCCAAGCCCCGAAACCACCCTACTTCTTACGAACTATGTTACGATCAAAATATTACTTCAAGTTTTGAGGACGCAGCACTTTGCAAATGTAAGGAGAATTACTATGTAACTGGACTGTACAGAGGAGGTAGTAAGAACAATTACAGCTTGGAAACACTCAAGTGTTGTCAGATGGTGATATTTACGAAATAGACCAGCTGTATTGACACCCTGCTTCATTTCCATTGATTTAATCACACAACAGATTTGAATGACAGGACTTAAATGATATGAAATCTAAATAAATAAACTTATAGTCAAACATTGGTTATATTTTACTTTCTAAGGTTCCAAATATTTTTAATTTAATTATAGAATCTATATATTATAAAAATTGCAACTATAGAGAATTTTTCCTGTTTAGATCGTAAACATCATTATCATCTTTATCTATATTTAGACTTTTATCTACTACATCTACAGAGCTCCTGTCTTACTCCTTATTTATTTCTACAACAAAATAACACGCCTTGTTTTAAGCTATTTTTTAAAATTAACTTTCAGCCATTCTGATTGTTTGCTATTGATTTCGATATGTTTATTCAATGAACTTGTTGTTCGTCCGTCGAGGATCGACGATGACCATCGAGTCGTCTGGTGACTGATGACTTGCGCGGGTGACTTTTGTTTAAAGTGAGGAAGAGTTGCGCAGCGTCAACCTCACTCTCTCGTCCGAGCCCACCATATCCAGTGGCATGACTCTACGTCAAGACGACCAGGGATGGGTACGGTTGCAGGAATGGA